GCGTGATTGTTGGAGTCGGTGTCTCTGTGACTCAAGAGGCTGTCTCTCACCAGGTAACACTGTAGTCCTGTACCTGAACCTAATGGAATGGAGGGAGGGGAAGAGAGAGAGAGAGAGAGGGAGGGAGAGAGAGGAGAATAAAAGAGGAAGCATTGTAAAATTTTAGCATTTTAGTATACATACATGTACGGCACAAAAATTTAGATTAGAAAATTGTTGCAAATTCATAAATTTTTAGAGTTAATGTACTGAATGAATTGGTTGATTATAATGCAAATCGGATTCACAACTATTGCAGAAATACATGCAAGTTCAATGTAAAATTTTCATACACATACATGTAAGTCATACATAATGATGATATTACTAACCTACGAGCTTCATTGATGCTTACTTCTCTTGAATCCTGTCTCCTTGATGAAGAATTAATGATATGCTAGAGAAAAAGAGAGAGAAAAAGCAAAAATTTGGAAAAATTAATTCATCACAATTCACCAAAAATCCATCAAAATTTGCAAAATAAAAATTGCAAATATTATAAAAATTATAAATCAAATGCAAAATAAATGCATGTACAATCACTCTATTTACAGTACACAGTATGTACAGTGTGTACGTGTGCAAAGTGCAAACTCTTACAGTTTTGTAATTGGACTCTGTCTTTACATCAAAAATGAGACTCTTGAATGAGACTTTACACATTGGACACTTGTTACTGACCTCAGACCACTGGACTATACACACATAACAGAAAGCATCTACAGATTAATAATAATAACAATAATAAGTTAAGAAAAACATTGAATTATTAAATCATTTACAGCTGATCACTTCTAGTGTACTGTTTGGATCATTTTGTCAATCATGCAATGTAAAATCTATTAGACAGGTTGTGTTTTAATTTTTAGGATACGAAAGCAGACGTTAACGAATGCCTTATTGTCATAGTCCTCCAGACAAATGGGACACTTCAATTCATAAGAACTGGCAGCCGCAGCTACTTCAGGACCAGCCTCAAGCTCATCATCTTTAGGATCACTGTTGGACGCCATTTTCATTTATCTTGACAGGTGTGGCTAGTTATTAAATTAATAGTTAAATTTGTTGAGCTTTGTGCTTGTGTTTTGTAGCACTACAAAACACAATGTGATCTGTTAGTCTTATAAGATTTCAAGACTTTATCATTTTAATATTTACAAAAGGAAATTTCATTATTATTATTATTATTATTATTATTATTATTAATTTCAAAGATATTGTTGTACTGATTCCCCAGTCACTGCCTCTATTGACTTTATGGTCTCTTGGACTTCCTTTTCAACATCTTCACACTCATCTACAGTAGAAAATGAAACATTGTATAAAAGAAAAAACTAAAACAACAAAAAATAAGAAAACTGCTTGAGACATAGAAAGTTACAGAGTACTATTATGATCACCATTATGATTAGTAATATTACTATAATTATTATTATTAATTTACTATTAATTACCTTCCATTAATTCAGAGAGGAATGGTATTATTTCAGGTAGAATAACGTTCACTTCTGATCCCAATTTAGAATACATTGAGCCAGCAATCTGTAGAGCACACAGCCTCACCTATAATAATAACAATAAGAATAATAAAAAAGATAATTATAAAATAAAATAGAAAAAATAAAAATAAAATATATGTACATGTGTAGAAAAATACAATAAAATAAAATAAAAAATTATAAAAATAGTGCATTAAAGGAGTTACTGAATATTTATTATATTGGTGGTGCATACTATTTATATCTCACTGACCATTGGCTTGCTCTCCCTTGTTTTGATTAGGAGCTGTTGGTTCAGTTTCTTCCATTGAGTCTCTCCACTGGAGGTAGCCACTGCCAACTGAGCAATGCAAGGACTCAAATGAGACCTCATTAAAGTCAAGTACAACTCATGATCTTCAGAACTTAACGTATTAGTTATCTATAAAAAGAGGATAATAATAATTATTATTATCCAGAGTAAATAACACCTAAAGATAGTATCCAACGGTCCCCATTTCGGCTGCTGCAAGTGTATGGATTTCTAGGAAGTCATGTTCAGTATACTTCTGTATATTATCAATGATAATGTTGTTATAACAACACATCTGTATAAAACTACTGAAGTATGCGGAACGTGACTTTCTAGAAATCCACACACTTGCAGCAGGCCTCAATAGGGCCATTGGATACTCTATTTCATGTCAAGTAAGACTCATGTATTATAGTACAGAGTATTTTGACAAAAATCACAAGGAGAGAATTCTACATTTTTATAATCTATTTTGATACATATACATGTACTTATGTTGTGTACAAAGTTTGAACTGATTCCGATCAAGTTTGGATTTTTTATGAATACTTAAAGTTGCTCCAAAATGGGGCTAAAGTCCCTGTACTATAGTACAGAGTTCTTTGCCAATTTTTGTCAAAAATGGCTAGGAGAGAATTCTCAATTTTTATAACTTTTTCTGATACATATACATGTTCTTATGTTGTGTAGCAAGTTTGATTTGATTCCGATCAAGTTTGGATTTTTTATGAATTTTTAAATTTGCTCCAAAATCAAGCCAAAGTCCCTGTACTATAGTACAGGGTTCTTTGCCAATTTTTGTCAAAAATGGCTAGGTGAAAATTCTCAATTTTTATAACTTTTACTGATACATATACATGTTCTTATGTTGTGTAGCAAGTTTGAGTTGATTCTGATCAACTTTGGATTTTTTATGAATTTTTAAAGGCACTCCAAATGCCATGTATTGTATTGTAGTGCTTGTAAATGAATGATACAATTATTACAATAGTGATTACGTGTAACTACCTGTTCAACAAGTGGTTCCATTAGTTGCTGGGACCGCTCTTTGTTTAGGAATGATCCTTTATCATGAAGGAAGCAGATCTGGAGTGTATCAAAGAGGAATTGAAGACAAAGGTTAGTTTTAATGATACTAG